CCTTTAATCATTCTTGTTGCTCTTCTCTGGACCCTCTCCAATTTCTCCACATCTTTCTTGAAATGTGGTGCCCAGAACTGGACACAATACTCCAGTTGAGGCCTAACCAGCGCAGAGTAGAATGGAAGAATGACTTCTCGTGTCTTGCTCACAACACACCTGTTAATACATCCCAGAATCATGTTTGCTTTTTTTGCAACAGCATCACACTGTTGACTCATATTTAGCTTGTGGTCCACTATAACCCCTAGATCCCTTTCTGCCATACTCCTTCCTAGAGAGTCTCTTCCCATTCCGTTGGCTGAGGAAGCCAAGGAAAAAAATGCTTTCTCTACACCCGATGGCCTCTTCCAATATACCGTCCTCCCATTTGGGCTCCATGGGGCTCCCGCAACTTTCCAACAATTGATGGACAGATTACTTCGACCCCATACCAAGTAAGCTGCCGCCTATTTAGATGATATGGTAATCCATAGCCCTGACTGGGAGACGCACCTGGGGAAAGTGGAAGCAGTACTATATGCTCTTAGAAAGGCTGGCCTCACCGCTAACCCGTCAAAATGTGTAATAGGGCTAGCCAAGGCCAGATACCTCAGGTATGTAGTCGGAAGGGGCCTGGTGAAGCCCCAATGAAACAAAGTGGAGGCAGTACAGAAATGGCCCTGCTCAATCCACAAGAAGCAAGTCAGAGCATTCTTAGGGAGAGTGGGGTACTATTGCCGGTTCATCCCTCACTTCGCCACACGGGCAGCGCCTCTGATGGACCTGATAAGATCTCGGGGCCCGGAGATAGTTAAGTGGACCGAGGCAGCAGAAGAAGCTTTCTCAGACCTAAGGACGACACTTTGCAGCCATCCAGTGTTCATAGCCCCAGATTTCAAAAAGGAATTCATCCTACAAACAGACGCCTCAGTGGTAGGACTTGGAGTCATCCTTTCATAGATGGTGGGGGATGAGGATCACCCGATCCTTTACCTCAGCCAAAAGCTCCTGCCCAGGGAGCAATGGTACGCCGTAGTAGAAAATGAATGCCTAGTGGTAAAATGGGCCATGGAGATTCTACGGTACTACCTGATTGGGTGGCGGTTCACCCTTGTGACAGACCATACCCCACTCCAATGGATGCACACAAACAAGGAGAGGAATGCACGAGTGACTAGATGGTTCCTATCCCTACAAACTTTTCACTTCTGCATACAGCATAGACCCGGAAGTCAACACAGCAAAGCGGACGGCCTGTCATGACAACACTGTCTCTCGTCCCATTGAACCCGACCCCATGGTGTTGTGTGTGTGTGTGTGGAATATCTGATATAAGAGGGTCAGGGAGCAGTGGGAGAGTGGGAGAGGAGAAATATATAAGCCCTAGGATAATTAAGGTGTGGTTCCCTGTAGACTAGGGAGGGTGGCTACAGGTTAATTGGAATACCTGTAGTCAATTAAGGCCCTGTCAGGAACCTAATAAAAACCCCTGCTTCAGGCAGTCAGGGGAGAGGAGGAAGGAGAGAGGACTGGAGCTTGGAGGTTTGTTTTGAAAAACCAGAGAATTGAAGTAGGGGAGACCTTGCCCTAGCAGGGGAGGGAGACTCCCTTCCCCAGCATCTAAGGACTGAAGGTACCCCACCCAAGGGGGAAGAGTGTAAGAACCCACAGGGGTTGAGAGGGGCTGGGGCTCAGAGTGAGGCGCAAACCCAGACCCCTCCCCCACTTCCCTCCTTTACTACATTCCTGGGCCACTAACGGGGCCCTCAGTGCCCCAAGAGCAGGGGCAAGGGGTGGCATCTTAGCCCCCTGACAAGAAAAACACAGAACCAACCATACCAACATCAGCCATCTTGTCACAGGATAAATGGTGTCCACTCCAGATACATACCAAAATCTACCCAGGTATGAAACTGGCATTGAAACTGTCCACACAAATACAAAATCCTATTTATGTGATGGGGTTCATTGGTGCAAACCATCCTGTCAAAGGGTAGCATGTGGCCTAAAAGAGTAATCTGCTGCTTGCATAGATATACCTTTTCTTATAAGTTTAAGTATTTGATGTATTGTAATAGGTTTATAGATGTAGATTAAAATAAGTTTAAAAGTAATGCCAGAGAGCTACAGGCCAAAAAGCTGTATGTTAAGCTAAGGCAAAGTTAGCATATCTATGTTAAGACCTTTTTGCCCAGAAAGTAAAGTTAACCTATATCTTGTTATCTAAATAGATAAGTACCCACGCCTATGTCTAAGACCTTTTACCTAGACCAATAGACAATGAAGAATGGTATAGGGTTGCATTCAAAGTTGTACCCACAGACTTAACAGGTACACCACAAGGGAACATATGTGCATACATACATGTCATCAATACGTACATACATACTAGCCTATGGGGAAGCGTACCCTAACATTTTTGTGGGTGAGTAATGAAATTTGGGCATAAGAGGAAGGATTTCCAGCACTTGTACCCTATAAAAGAGGTGACCCATCTCGCTATCTTCTCTTCATCTTTAACGAACTATCAATGCTATCCATCCACGATGGCTATTAACTATGAGTAGGCCGTACTTATTTTGTTTTCAAACTTGAAGTTCCAAGGGGACTAGACTAAGCTTGGTTTCCCTAAACTTTTGTTCTTAGTTTGGTTTATTACGTTTTAATTTTAAGTTTAAGTTAGATAACTCAACTCCAAGTTAGCTTTGACAGCTCTTCCCATTAGTGTTCTCTGCACACCTCTGCAAGAGGTGAGACACTGGAAACAGAGGCGAGGTCCTGTGTCTTTCAACACCCAGGCCATCAAGGCAGTTTGTGAGTATATTAACCAAAGTTTTGCAGCACATAATATTGTATCTTTGTGGCTGGGTGAAATGTACCCCTTGCTCATGGTTTAACGGGTATATAGGAAATATTACATTCTTCAGAATGATCTTCTTTCTTTCCTAGAGGAGGAGAAGCAAACAAACTCAAATAAGCTGAATTATAAGGAGGTTTTTGGTCTGTAAAGAAGATGTGAAAGAATACACTTGTCTACCTTACAGCAAGATCTCTCTTGAGGGCTCCCAGATGAACCATGAAATGGTCAACCACACTCATTCCAGAGCAATTCTATCTTTCCCAGCCATACCACAGAGAAAGAAGAGACGAAGAGAAAAAGATGTGCAAAAAATGATTTTGCAATAACAAAAGAGTTAGATTAGGTAGGTATCTTATGTCAATAGCTTTGTGTGTCACTGCCTGCTTCTGTGAAGTACTGAGCATCCTCAATTCATACTTGGCCAAATCCCTAAATCTTATTCAGATGTAACTCAGGTAAAATTCTGAAAAGTGTAGAGAGTTCTCAGAAACATCCGCTTGATGTGCATCAGCAGTCAAAAACACTAACAGAATGTTAGGAACCATCAGGAAAGAGATAGCTAATAAGACAGAAAATAACATAATGCCACGATATAAAGCTATGGTAAGCCCACACCTTGAATACTGTGTGCAGTTCTGGGCACCCCCATCAAAAAAAAATGTATGTTAGAACTGGGAAAAGTATAGAGAAGGGCAACAGAAAGGATTAAGGGTATGAAACAGCTCCCATTTAAGAGATTTAAAAGACTAGGATCATTCAGCTTGGAAAAGAGATGATAAAGGGGGAATATGAGAGACATCTATGAAATTATGAATATTGTGGAGGAAGGGAAAAGGGAACTATTATTTACCCATTCGCAAACACAAGAACTAGGATTTACTTGATTAAATTAATAGGTATAAAACAAACAAACAAACGGAAGTACTTTTCACACAACACAAAATCAACCCGTAGAAGTCACTGCTAGAGGATATTAAAATTCGCCAATTGTATTTTAAACATCTTGAACATCATAAATTAGCCACCTTCTGTGAAGTTCATGTTGAAAAACTTTTGGATCCAGTACTTTTGCTATCAGTAAATTTGACCAGCATTGTGTTCTCTCTGCTGCTGTCAGTCAGCTTCTCCATTGTTTCCTTCAAGCAAAATTAACCTCATTCACTGGCAATATGACAATTTTTTCATTGATTTCAAGGCCAAGAGAGACCATTTTGATCATCTAGTCTGATCACTGCTAGAACACAGGCCAGAGAACTGCCCCCAAATAATTCCTAATGCACAGTTAAAAAAAACAAAACAATCCAATCTTGATTTAGAAAGTGTCAGGGTTGGAGACACCACCCCAACCTTTGATAAATTGTTCCAATGGTCAATCACCCTCACAATCAAAAATGTATGCCATATACAAATTAAACAAAATTAAGTTAACTTACTTTTGAATTTTTCAAGAATTAGGATGACAGTCACACCACTAGACTGCAATAAACAGATTAAGTTACCTATGGAAAGATAGAATATGTTACTATCACCACCATGTGGCCTCAAAAATGGGAGGTATTTCTAAGTGTTACCATTTTGGACCTGAAGAATGATGGACATTTGATGGGGTATGAACAATGATGCGATAGGAACAGATGTCCCTGCCAGAAGGTGTGGACTCTACCTAAGGGTCCCCAGTCTGGTTTTACTTGTTCCTCCCCACCATTAGGAGTCTTTTGTTATTTTTAGTGCTCAATAAGAGCTGAAATCATGTGTGGTGGGACAGCGTTTCTGCCCAGCCTGCTAAGAGCTAAAAGTCACTAAGAGCTGATAATCACTAAGAGTTGGGTGGACTCTCAAGAGACTGACCTACAGAGGTCACAGCAGAGAGGCAGGTGGCAGAAGGTGACCAGTGACTGGAACAAGTGGGGGAGGAATAACGGCTGGTAGGGCGGCCAGCAGGGGAGAAACCATGGCTAGAAGGGAGGGCAGTAGGAAGGAACAGCGACTGGTGGGGCAGCCAGCCAGAGCAAGTGTTCAGATGATGAAGCAAGGTGCCTTCTTCCCCGGATGGGAGGTGAACTCCCACAGATGCACCTCTGAACCCTGGGTCCTCACCAAGGGCAATCACTGTGAGTGGGGTATGATGAAGGAGCAGAGAGGGGCACATAAAAGGAAGTTTTGGTTGTAGAACTCAAGAACAGGAGGCAGAAGACTCTGCCTCATGCACTCTGGGATCGGTGTCCTGCTCACAGTTTTATCTTTATCAAACCTCCTTGTGGCATTTTCCCCAACTGATGTTGGGTGACTTCCCTCCTTTCATTAAAAGTTTTTTTCCTACACTCAGACTCTGTGCTTGCGAATGGAAAAGTATTGCCTCTCAGAGGCATCCCGGGGTTAATTTTCCCAGGTTAATGGGTGGCGGTTCAAGCAAATTTCTTTTGTATTGTTGAAAAGGAACCTCTAGCTATTGAACCCAGCCCTGGCTGCTGCCAGCTCCACCTGGCAGAAGGGTTACAATAGAATAAATATGAGCCATGTTGGTGATCTCCTCTTCCTGCTGAGTGTCTCTTACATGCTACAGTGAGCCTCAGCCAAACTAAACCCCTCCGCACTATATTTTCCCCCCATGAAAGGCTAGGGTTCAGCTGACTACCATGCTGTGGCCTTTCACCAGGATGTCAGAAAGCCCTTTAGCTAGTCCTGGGTTCCATACAATTGCAAATGCTGGAGGGACTGGTGTGGGGGAAGTGGGGATAATGTACATTGCTCCCCTTCCTACCCCCTCTGTTTGCACAGACAGGACAATACCGCACATCTTTAAACATTAATAGGTAGCTACCTTCCTGCCTGGCCCGTACACAATGAAAGTTTCAGTCATTATCATTGAACATTTGTTTCATTTTCAGAAAACTTAGAGAAGACAATAGATAAGTTTTGTGTCTTATTTCCATTATATATAGTCTCGTCAATATACACAAATCTTGTAGTAGAGTGGAAAGTGGAAGAATTTATTTTTAGACTTCTCTGCTCTCTCGTGCCTTTCATGATCCCTTTTTCCTGGCTTCAAAAGAGCATCTCTGAATATTTACTAGAGCTGAGGAGAGTTGCTTTCCTATTCTGGCATTTTTAAATGAACACCTCCATGCTGTTGAGTATCCTCTAAAAATGTAACTCTCCAGAAAACAAATATTGTATGAAAGAAAATGAACGTATGAAAAGGACTGCACATTGAAACAGAAAATGGAACATAATTCATTACATAAATAATATTATGACACTTTTAATAGCTGGTGCCCATATTAGGAGAGTTGAACTGTATCCTATTGAGTTTTTTTTCTAATTAATGGTGACTATGAAAGTTCTTGCCAAAATTGTTCAAAAAAGGTTGGGCTCTAATCTTGTATACGGGGGGATGGCCATATGACAAGCATCATAGACTAAATAGGTGGTGAAGGCTCTTTGCTGAAAAGTTTTCATTCAAGACATTGTACATATTTCCACTACTGAACATTTCTGCGTGATGGGCCCAGACCTGTACTGGAGAAGGGGAGTGAGTTGCAGAACCACACTACCTGGAGAAGACCTCCAGTGGGGATTGTGATTTAAGGGGTGAACTGTTCCTCCTTGAGATCCCAGGCCTGGGGAGGACAAAGCACTTTTAGCACCCTGCTGCCAGAGATGAGGGATGCCAGGAAACTGCTCTGGAAAAGAGCATCCTTCTATACAAAGCCCAAGACTCACGAGTAAAAGGCCTCATTTCCCATCAACCTTGGGCTCTGTGGCCGCTTTACTCTCTGGTTTGTTAGGTGAGTACTCTCCAAATACCAAGGAATAATCCCTGGGAGGGACCCTGTCTACCACACGTCCCCCACTGGGGAAATGCCAGGCTCTTCCCCCTTCAAACCACAGCCATCAGAGAAGACTTACTTGTCCTCCTTTAGTTGACCAGGCAAGAAAAAGCCATAAACACTTTTCATTATATTCACTGTATGAACTGATGAGGAGTCTAATCCTGCTCCTTCTCATGTAAATCTCTTTATTGATTTCACTGGAAGAACTGGGCCTTTGATTACGTAATTATAATTCTCTGGCTAGAGCACAACCTGATACAGCCCCAAATGTGTGATGTAAAGTTCACGTTCTCTCCTTCGTTTTGTAATATGAAAAAGGCACAAGGGTTTGCACATGTGATTCTGTCCCAGAGGAGGGAGGCCTCAAGAAAAACACAGGATAGCTCTCCCTCGTGCATGTGACAGTGATATAAAATCAGTGCAGTCCTAGGGCCAGATCCAAATTCACTGAAGTCAATGGGAGACTTTCCATTCACTATAGTGGATTCTGAATCAGTCACTTGACGCTACTTCAGGTCATAGTGTCGCTGAGTTGGAAGGAAAGCCAGAGGTCAAGAGCTTGGGGTAGGGTGATATCTACCCGGTCTTTTCTTCTGTGCTGTGTATAAAGGCTGAGTGATCTCAATATTGCTTTTGAATCTTTTAGGGAATGGAGGGATTCATCAATCCAATTGGTAAATACTTTGGAGCTTTTGAATGGCAGATCCTCTATTGCGGCCTGCACTTCCTTCAGGAATCTCAACAGATGTAGCCTTGAACTCCATCTCATGACCACTGATGTTTCTATTGACAAAGGTTCATAATAGGAAACTCTGAATTATAGAGTTGTCCTTGAGAGATCTATCCTCTTCCAGTCTGTATCACTGGGTGTCATTTTGGAGTGATGTTGTCTCCCCCTTTCTTTCACCACATTGACCACCAGAGAGTTTGGTGTGGGAGGTGAAAATAAGTCCACGTCCATTGCATTAGCAGATGTTGGGGGTTGGCATCACTGCGTCGTCCAGTGAAGAGGATGAGAAGTTAGTTGCAGGTGAAATTTCCTCCTCTAGTCTCTTCTCCTGCTCCTCAAAAGGTCCTCCTTTAGGTTCAGGAGGTCTGGATGCAGACAAAGATGGGGCATGTCTAGGTCTCTCCTCTGAATAACCAGACTGCCAATCTCTCTGTCTCATGCCTTTGTCAGTGTCCATCTAGTGCCGGACATCCAACCCTCTCCCCCAGTTCCTTTTCTACCACCTGGCTCATAAATTGAACTCAGATGTAAAAGGGAGAAGGGTGAGTAGTGGAGCACTTACTGAGTCACCTTCTTGAACAGCCTAAGTTACTACATAGAGTGAGAATCCTTCTCTTCTTCTTCAAGGAGTGTCCCTGTGGGTGCTCCACTTTTTCAGGTGATTGTCAAGCAGTGTCCCGCAGTGGACGGAAGGGACTTTGGAGTTGCGTGAGTAATTGACAATAATACAGAAACAACAAGGAGTCTGGTGGCACCTTAAAGACTAACAGATTTATTTGGGCATAAGCTTTCATGGTTAAAAAACCTCACTTCTTCAGATGCATGGTGTCCCACTAAAGCTTATGCCCAAATAAATCTGTTAGTCTTTAAGGTGCCACCGGACTCCTTGTTGTTTTTGTGGATACAGACTAACATGGCTACCCTCTGATACTTGACAATAATACAGTAAGTAATACGAATGCGGCCAATCTTGAGCTCTGATCCATCGCATAACATATTGTAAACGTGTTTGCGGATGCTCAGGTGGCCACTTTACATATGTCCTTGATTGATAAGAGAAAGCCTACTGAGATTGATAATGACCTGGTGGAGTCGGTTGGGATTCCTGGTGGAAGTTGTATATCCTCCTGTTGTAACAAAAGTGGATTCATCCAGAAATCCATTTACACAGTCATTGCTTGAAAATGGCGAAACCTTTAGATAGTTCCAAAGTTGAAATACAGAGTCTTGGTGATTATCTGAAAGTCTTGGTTCTCTCAAGGTAGAACACTAGTGCATGTCTGATGTCCAGAATCTATACTATTTAGTCCTGTTTGCTCCCATGAAGTTTAGGGAAGAATGAGGGAAGATGGATTGGTTGGTTCAATTGGAAAGAGGAGGATATAGTGGGCAAAAATTTAGTTTGATGTCAAATATTTTTCCTCATGTACTTAATTATAGAGTGTGATCAATTCACCCATTTTCTTTGTGTAGCAAAATAGATTGAGCTCCTGGAGTCTATCACTCCAAAATATGTTTTCTAATCTTTTAATTATTTCCCTGGTTCTTCTCTGAACCCTCTCCTATTAATCAACTTCCTTCTTCAATTGGGGACATCAGAACTGGACACACCGTTCCAATGGCAGAATCAAAGTCAGAGCTAATATAACCTTCATAGTCCTACTTAAGATTATTCCCATGCCCTCTGGCCCACTGCCCACTCAACCCATTCCTACTGAAGGGGTTTTGTGAGGTTCAAGGAAAAGGGTACAGTCCTGCTGATGAAGAAATTGCACCTGTTCAGATCACAGACAATGTATGTCTGACTGACCCAGTCATGGAACAGGAATGGTGAGTGGGTTCTTGAATGATATCACCCTGGGGAACAGTTGGTGGGTTAGGGTTATGGTTATGGTTAGGGTTTGTCTTTTTTTTCTGAAAATTGGGTTAAGAAACA